TCATCAAAGGCAATAAAGGTATTTAAGAATAGACCAAACACTTGTGCAGCAGATATCATTTCATTTATTGCTAAACTACCATAGTACAGGCAATATATAAAAATATTTTACAGATAGCAAAAAAATCATTACATTGGAGGTTAACAATGTTGTTGTAGGAATGTGAATGATATAAACCCCTTTTCAATTCCTAAAGTTACTCTTTTGAACAAACAGTTTGATTAAAAGGACATCTGTTAGGATGATTTGAGTGACAACTGCTCACTCGTGTATCTATAACATGGTTTTACCTGAACATACAGGGTAGAGCTTCAGCAAGGAGGCCTGGACTTCAGTGTGGGGGGAATCACTTCATAACTACACACACATAACGTAAGTCTCAATTAGGTCAGCATTATTAAGACTGAACTGTACCTTGATTTGCTGTTCCCATGTCTCACCATACTACTTGTGTAGTAAGGTACTGATCAGCATCAGTAAAATGATGGCAGTTTAATCCTGGAATAATTTATTATTCCAACAACACATCCATGGATTTCTGGGCTATTGCAATCATCATTCATTTCTGTGACTCAGTCATTCTAGAACTTTCTACCCAATTTTGTTATTTTATAAGAGTTATTGGAAAGAAACTCAAAATACCAACTTTTCCCCACATAACCACTCATTTGCAGCCTATATGATCTTTTACAGTACCAGCACCTTCATTTGAACTTTACAGCAATGTGGGTCAGGTACCAATTTGGGTTTTTTGTACCTCCAGAACAATGAAAATGGCTAAACAAATCTTAAACAGACCATAGTAGATTAGATACTGACTGACAGTTAAACAAATTGCTATCAGCTGTCACCCACTGCAGTAATAAAGTAGCAGACATTAAAAAAGACAGATGTCAGTCTTACGTCAAACATTCAAAAAGGTGGATTATTCATTCTGAACTGAGATGAATAAAGAATTGTAACTTTCCACATGTGATGGCAGATAGATAGATGCCTTAGGTAAGAAATTGCTGCAGTGTAAACAATGAGGACAACAGTTGATTTCTGAAGAATTTGCAATTCACCCAGTCTAAACCCAACATTGGTGTCTCTTCCTATTGCACAGGAATACATAATATAAATAACACTCAGAATTGCAGATAAACTCGAACATCAGATGATTTTAAGTGGTACAAAATTTGTGAAGATCTGAATCAATTTAAGATTTGAAATTAAGACAGTAATTTCCTTGAATCCCATCTGGCAGATAATTGTTCCCTATTAAGTAGCAATTTGGAAAGCAATGCAGGGGAAAAAGATTGAAATATTTAGAAACATATTTCTGAAGTGTTTAAAGCTGTCTTTGAAGTCTTTGGAAAATTTATCAAATACATCTTTTTTTAGGACAATAACAATTCAACAACAATTGCATAGAAAATTAATACACTCATAAAATGAAAATTGATCCTTTATAAATACTATCCTTAATCCAAAAGTTGTTGCATATTTGGTCAGACAAAAAGCATAGACACTTTTTTGTAAAGATATGGATTACAAAATATACTTTAAAAAACATGCTAGCTAATTTGAGAACTGTTTTAGATATGTTATTAAGCAGCAGCATTTTATACAATAGAGAATAACATAGTGCTGTTTTGGAAATATTCTACATTCAGAAAATGCTGTATTCCTACAAGAATGGAAGTGATACATATTTACATGGATACAAATAAAGCAAGTGCAAAACCCATGGCTCTTCTACATTCTTTCTACCAATAAAAACACATACATTAGACACTTTCATTCCATCACTGTTGTTCAGATCTGACATTTTGCTCATTCTCATGGAGAAAAACAAAAACGGGACTTCATATTTCATTGCAAGTATCTTCACAAGCAATTACTCTCCTGGCAAACTGTACTTCCAACACTCATAAGTGACAAAAAAAATCTTCTTGATATCTGTCCGCTCCCATTCCACTCTCAGACTGTTTACATATCATGAATGATGATTTTACTCTATGTATTCATATATTTGATGCAGAATTTATAGAAGCTCATCCTGTAATTGCAGCCAAAGCTTGGATGCAAATACAGCAAGTAAGAAAAATGCACGCACACATAAAAAGAGAGATGAACTTTTGAGTTCCAACGAGCCCCATGTACTTTGCATGGTATAACTTTGATGGAAAATGCATTAGAGTTGTTCACCCTGTAGACAATATATTTGGAGGCCTTTGGTACAATGGCAGGAAGGCACTGTGGTGAAACATTCAGATAACTGAGGAAAGACAGAATTTCCTCATGTGCAAGTATGGCTATCTTCCAGATAAAGTGAGAACAAATTACTCACTAAATGGTATTAACTCTTCCAAGGTTAAGCTAATGCTTCTACAGAAAGAGAGCAAGTCGTATTAAGTAACAAAATATTAATACTGGAAAAACACTGCTCAGCAAGAACAGGAAATAATTTAGTACTGTATATTTTGAAGTTCTTCAGTCTAGCTATATAATTTTAACATATCAGTTTTCTTCTTAAAAAAAGAGACACCAAGGCATAACGCTATGTCTGAGGATGCTCCTTTTCTCAGGAAATAAATATAAAGTTGGTTTAAAGCTGTATTATTTAAGTAACAGTTGCATGTAAAAGCAGAAAGAGTAGCACAGCCTGACCTCTTGTTGCTGTAAATAAAACCACTAAAATGTAGTCTATATTATATACATCTTATGAACCCTCGATCCTGTAGCTGGCTTCATGTGCCAGCATAGGCCTGGCTGACTGGAGTCAATTATAGGATCGTGACCCAAGTTTGTAATGAGGTGTGTGCATGTTCATATATAATTATATGTATATAATATATCCATATAGTGATATATATGGTTATATTATATAAATATACATGTATATGCACCTACAAAAACACACACACAAATTAATATGTATGCATTAAAAATGAGGAAGAAATACAGCTAATGCAAGCACGAGTAAAGCACTTGCACATTTTTAAAGAAAAAAAAAAATCTTCCCCTCTCTATAGCAAAGTGCCCGAAGGAACACATAAGAACAGTGGAAATCTTGTCTTTTGGTTAAAGAGGGCATGTTTCATGTGTGCATCCTGCAAAGCAGCTTTGATGGAGCATTGCAGGGGCGCAGGGGTTTGCCTGCCTGCATCCCCTTGAATGCTGAAAAGCCTTTGAGTCCACATTTTTGTTGTCTGCTATACACATTTATGCCTTATAGTAAAAAGGGGAGAAATATGTTTAATTGATCATTGGGGGATAGTGGCAAAAAAAAAAAAAAAGAAAAATCAGTCTGCATCATGAACACGTACACTGCAATCGCACATTGCAGAGGAAGGCTGCTAGTGGATTTGGTGTGTGGTTATCTGACTTCAGCCATTCATCTGTATACAGAGGAGTATTGACAAGCAGTTGCTATGGACAATCACCAAATAAGCAGCAATATTTTTAGACCTCATCAGCGCGTCTACAGATTTTGAAAATATGTTCATGTTCTTTGATACTCTATTTAAAAAACAGTAAGAGAAAGTTTTTGTCATTTGGGGATTTTTGGTTTTTTGCGAATGAGTTTTCTTTTTTTCTTTTATTTTTTTTAATTTCTCCTAGACTTTACAGATTGGATCAGGGAAAACTAGATGGGCATTTCTGATACTTGAAAATGTCAATTCTATGAAAGCAGGAGACACATTGGGCCTATTCTTGTACTCAGCTACAGCAAAGAACTTCTGACAGGCAGCTTTTGGCCTGAGGAATTTTTCAAAATTGTCCAAAACATCATACTGCATTAAAAATCCATAATATATGTCAGATTCTGGCAAACTGGCAGTTTTAAACCAATCCAAAATAGCTTACATGAGGCATGTGAGCCACTTAAAGTACTATACAAGTGCTGTTTAACAATCAATAATTCCCCTGTGCAGAAGTAATTTCAGCTACTCTGAGCCTCAGTTTTGTTTCTGTAAAAGTCAGCAATAAAAAAGGCCATTTTCACCTCTGCAGGTAACAGGCTGAGGCTTGGCTATCTCGACATTTGTTCTGATGCAACATGCAGAGCTCACAACATGAGAGGCACAATGACACATCCAGTGACTTTTTGGTGTTGCTGAAATCAGATACAGGGGACTTATTTTGTGACAAAAGATTTGAGTCTCACAAAGTAGACTAACACTTGCTGCCACACGAATGCTGCCAGTGGGTGTGAGCAGTTCTTCGAGGGGAGAAAGAAGCAAACTCCCCAAGCTGTGTTATTAATGCCAGTTTGGGATATGCAGTCAGGAAGGGCTCTGCTCTGGTTCTGGATCATGGCTGTATCCAGAGCTTAGAGCTGCTCTTGTGAAATTCAGATTTCAGTTTAAGAGCCAAGATTACAGCTGAGAGGTCAGGTGTTACAGGTCAGGTGTTCTGGAAAGTCTAATGCTTCTGTCTCCCCCACGCTAAAACTGAAGAACTTGCAGGGTTTAAGCACCAGCTTTTAGTCACAGAAAATATATTCTCAATACTCCTGAAAAGATTTCTGTTGAACTGAGCACATACTCTGCAGGGTTTGTGCAAGATCTTTCTTGCAATATTGGGAACCAATTATGCAACTGCTCTGCTGGTCTGCTCTATTCAAATAACCTAATTCCAGCTGTGAGCATGTGGACACACTGGTGTTCAGCAAAGTTGACCGTGAAACAACTGAAAACAGGATAGTTTCACTGTGTTTTACAGCACAGAGCTCAGGCTCTGCACACTTAAAAATATCAGCATTCCTCATTTACAAAACCATGAAAGATTACTACATATTTTCTACAATATTATGGCTATCTTTTCCTGTACATTGATTATCCACTCATGATGCCCTTTTATCATGCTGTGGTAGCAGTGACACACCAAAATGTTATAAACTTGCTAGCTGTACAACTGCAGATAGCAGCGGTTACCTTTTATCGTGATAAACATGTGTCAGTACAGTATATTCTAACACATGAAGCAAAACATAACAAACATACTAACTCACATGGAAATTTAACCTTTCCAGAAATTGCTGGTGGTTTTGCAAAGCTAAAGAGACAAGGTGAGTATAAGTGAGTGTATAGTTTTTCTGGAACATATGGCTTCTGTAAGATGCAATTATTTTCCTCTGCAGCTTGTGTGGCTAAATGTTACAGCTGCTAAATGAGACAAGTTATGAGCCAATAGCAGGTTCTACACAAAAAGAAACAGCAACAAGTTGTCAGAGAGAAAATATCTAAGATGTGTTCATACACTGCCTAAATATTAATTAGGATCAATCATAAAATATTTGGATTTACTGTGATTCCTATATATTAATCTCTGTTTTATCTGGGTTTATTTTACCTTGGGACAGGTGTTACAACTGCTGAATTGCTCTCTTCACTGGTTCTCTGTGAGCATCCCTCTCCTTCAAATTCCTATCCAGTCTGACAAGAAAAATGAAGAAAACTCCTGGATTCAGCTGACATCTGTTGTTTGAAATACTGATCACAGTGCTCAAAGTAAAAAAAAAAAAAAGGCTTTTATTCCCAGGTCAGATAAAGGCCGAGCAAGCTTGGGTTGCCTCAGTTTCCTACAACAATAAAACTTCTCAAAAGGGCTTTAAGACCTGGAGGGCAAGTCATTATTAGTGAACTGCAAAATGTCATTATTCTTTTATGGAATATATTACTCTTTCTTCCCCCATTTCCCACCCCACCCAAATAAGCACTAATATATAACCTCCCTTGCTTTGTGCGGTGTTCAGGAGTGACATATCACTTATCCCTTATTACTAAGATAGATCGATATGTAGATAGATATTTTGCAGCAGGCTTGAAGAGTTTCCTTAGACAGATGCTCTGTTATACAAGAACAATACGATCTTTGGACGAAAGGAAGGGTGTCCTTCTCAATGTTTACAGAGAGAGGTGGCGAGTTGCTTAGTCAAGGCTGTCAGCTTGATGCCAATACATTGTTCCTTGCATTGAAATGGTGCCTTGAGATGAACAGTTAAGGAAGCAGGAGGTTGCAGGGGCACTGGAAGGATCTAAGAGGTCAGTTACGGAAGGATTCGGTAAAAGTTGTCTGACAAATCTCTTCTTCTATGTCTGATTTCTGGCAGGGAGTCCAGAAAATTCCTTCCTGATAATTTCGTTAACTGTGAAATAAAAGAAAGAGGAAGAAGTGTTAGAGCACTTTCAAAATTACAAGAAGCAAAAGCAATCCTTGGGCAGTTTGCTGTTAAACTGAAAACATCCCCTATGTATTCATAACATAATTTTATTAAAAACCTAAAACTTTTAGTGCTATTTACCCAGACTACATATTCTTGGAAGGCAAGGGGGAAGAATCAGAGAGAGTGGGTTTACACTGTGTTCAGCATGGTTCAAGTACCATAAAAACACAACTCAGAAGCTGTACAGTGTCTAGTACATGTGACATCCCTTACATATACAACACCTTCCCTCTTTCACAGACATTTCCTTTACTCGAGGTAAAAACTAAATCTGTAAGTACATAAGCATTTTATCATTTTCATTGGGCTGAAATAAGAAAATTTAAAAAACAAAAAAGGCCAGGTTTGGAGAAAATATAGTGGACAGTGCTGAAAACACAGAGATTCAGGTGAAAAAGTGTTGGTTTTTTTGTGTTTGTTTTGTTTGTTTGTTTTAAATCTCACTGTACTCTATTTGCTCTACATTTTTATTATAGTTTGTTTGTAGATTGTGGCATAAGCAAACTTTCATGTACCACTATGATACTCTAGCAGGGTGGGGCAGCTTGTTAAAAAAGCTCAAGAGAAGACACTGAAGAACTTTGTTATCTTCTTAAAAAATCAGAACAGTATTATGTTATATATAACAGCCATTCTCTCCTGTCTACCCTTCACACTTAACTGCCCAGAGCACCCTTTGGTACCTCCTGGCACAACAATTCTCTCTCTAGGCTGCATTTTCATTAGGAGAGACCTAAAACATAAGCATTTTGGTGCAAAACTCCAGAACTGCCTGTTTTGGGGCTCCATTTCACATGCAGCAACTTGGCACTGTATTTACCAAGGGGGTCCACAGTTTGGAAACTTTTTATCTACTTTGACAAATTTGCCTTAAAACCAGAAGACCAAATTTTCTAAGGTTTTGGACCCCAGATCAAAGTGATTTCCCACTGTTGATGTTTAAAGGCTAAGACAAGGACTAACTCAAACCAAAGAAGACCCTTACCCAAGACTGATTAATCCTCAGGTATGCAGCTGTAAGACTACTCTATATTTAGGCCCATTTCTAACAAATATTTATGAAAAAAAATTTATTTTACATAGTATTTCACCACTTCCCAAAATTAAAAAAAAATGGTGCCCAATCTCTTAGCGTGTCTGGGAAGGGGAACACATGTATTAGTTTTTAATAGTTATGACTAGTAGTTTGAAATCTCCCTCCACTCTACATGCAATGGAATTTATCTGTGAGAAAATAAAATCTATGTTTTACACAAAGCTCCGCCTTATTACTGGATGTCTGCTGTGGTGGGCTATATACCTCAAGGACTAATAATCTGCACAGAGCATGGCACAAGTGCTTGATGGGAGGAGCAGGGAACTGGTCCTCTGCATATCCAGGTACAGTAAATTCTCCTGAAGGGACTTCATGGCCTGTGCCACACAAGGCAGTTTTCATCCCTCCGTGCTCAAAACTCCCACCGTTAACAGCCCAGAGTTTAGTTCTTTCTAATTCCAGCCAGGAAATGCCTGATTTTAACCAGATTGGTGTCTCTTGGAGAGGACACGGACAAAAAAGCATCACTGAGAGCAGAATTCTTGCCCTCCCCTGATGTCCAACTTTGCACCTGCCACCATCACCTGCTGGCTTCTATCAGCCTTTTGGGTGAAATCTTGCAAACAAAGCACGTATGTGGGGGATTTGGTGTGCTGCTGCTCTGCAATGCAAGCAAGCCACCAGCGGGAGGTGAGGTCGGTCCACTTTCAGGCAAAAAACCTCCTCCAGCTTAGAAGAGCTTCCTGTTTGCTCTACCCAGGAAATGAGAGGAGCAGGTCTTCAATGGAAATTTTTCACAGCCTCAGCTAAAATTAGCAGTGAGGTAAAAGAAGTGGGCACCCACTCTTACAGGGTCATTTCCTTTCTAAAAACAAGTGGGCTGAGACTGCAGGCCAATTTATTTATCGACACGTTTGTTTGAGCAGCCAGCATACCAAAAATATCATGTATGAGTTTCCTTTTGTTTAATACAGCCATCACTTGTGGAAATATCGGAGCTAACAGTCATTTTTGTCTAGGAAGGGTTAAATATTAAGTGAAAAATAAGCATATAATTAAATTGAGTTTACTAAACCCACAGTCTTTCAGGGGTCCGGTTGTGGTTCTGTTTCCCAGCCTGGGCTTTAAGCAAAGTGAAATCCGTTGTGCAGCACCAGCAGACCACGAGCCTGGAGCCTGGCCAGTGTAGGGACTTGTGCTCGTCGGCTCTGAGCAAGTTGGACGGTGTGGTAAAGGCTTCCTTGGCCTGCAAACTTCACTTTCCCTCCTGTGTGCTGCATGATAGGTCAGCAGTGGGTTTTGTGGGCTGAGGTTATGGGGGAATACAGTCTGAAAAGAGCTATAAAGCTGCAGGGGAACTGTATGAAACAACCCCACAGATGGGCTGCAGAAAGTCCTAATCTACAACCAGAGCTCCTAAATCTAATGAATATATAAACATAACAGGATTGGATTCTGAGGCAAGTATCTCTCTCCCAGCTTGGAGTCACCTCCAGACCGAGTCTAGTGAAATCACACATCTTTGGTGATCTGCTCCAGATTTGGGAGCACATGGATACAGATCCAGGTGTAACCTCAGTGACTTGGGTTTCAATACTAGGTTGAACAAAATCAGCAAACTGAATCTAAACTTCAGAGGAAGCTGAGATCATGTGCTGAACTTGCTATTCTGAACTCCCATCTTTTTTTTTTTTTTTGGGGGTAGCATGGTTAAAATGTATCTCAAGTATCGGTTCTCATTATTTGCTCATTTTTATCTGAAAGGAAATGGAGATGATGTGCTTAATAAATGAAATATTGTTATTTAAGGTGCCTGGCATGTGGCATCTCTGGAGGACCCTGCTATTGATCCATTTATGAGAGAGAACTGATTAAACAGGGACATGAGGACATATGCAAAGATAATGAAAGATTAAATCATAAAAAAGGATACTGAAATTACAGCTGACATCAGCCATCCAAATCAAGGAAATGCCTAGTTACGCCTGAATCACTTCAGCATATCCTCTCTGTTAGATACTGCTGATGTACAAGTATTACCAACAGCCCCTGTGCTTGGAGATCCCCAAGTTAACTGAATGCGAGAGGCTGGCTGAAATCATGGGAGAAGGTCTGCATTCTTCTAATCACTCAGCTTTGATGGGTTACAGTCAGTCTCTCAGGCTCCAGCCCTCAAAGACATTTAAGACTCTAATTCACATCCTCTCAGATAGAAATCTGGAGTGTATTCACTTGCGGGATGATAGTGGGTTGTATTAAATACCGTGCTTCAACTAGTAGTCCAGAGACAGAAAACAGTCTCCAATTTTAGCTGGCAATGAGTCAGGGTCCTTGTAATTGATTATACACACGCACACACACTCATAGGCATGCGTGCGCACACTCACACAGCATTGGAATATCAACGTTACCGGTGTTATTCCATGTATGTCTGGAATAACACCCATGAGGTCCATGTTGTCACAGCACTATAGCAGTGGCAGTGACTGGGGTCTTGTGCCCTTTGGGCATCCTGCAAGAGTGAGGGTCTCATCAGAGGAGGCCAAGCTCAGCTCCAGCGGGCTCCTCCCTGCCCTGGGCAGGTATCCTGCAATATGACATGTTTGCTCTACTGACGCAGCCATGTGGCATTTTTACATGCAAAGCAAACACAAGACATGCAAGGAGGAACTAATGGCATAACAGGGACCGGGGAGAAAAGTTGAACCTTGAATTTTTAGCGTGCCCTCAAAACATGACCAAGCAAATCATGGTCCTAATGTGGTTCTAGCTGCTGCCTGGGAATGACAAGATGCTTTAGCCCAGCATGCACAACCCCATTTCTCCTTCCCTGCCCAGCAGGCCCCAGCTACTTCAGGACAGCTCTGTGGTACACAAGTGGGGAAGAAAAAGAATGAAAAAAAAAAAAAAAAAAAAATTTTTAATTGAAAAAATAAATAAATAAAGGTTAAGAGAAACACACAGCTGGAGAAAAGGCAGAAAAATACCAATTACCTTTCTTTCTGATTGCTTGGATCAAAGATCACAGTCATTCTTTTTCATATAATGTTTTGTATCCAGCTAAGGTGTGTATCTATCAGCTCTGAAAAAGATTTGCAAAACCATTTTTGAGAAAAAAAGGTAACCTTTGACCTATGTTGCAAGGCCAAATGTTACAGTTTTCAGCTACTCTTTCATTTTGTGGTTTAATTTATTAAAAGGACATTTCAGCATATACAATACATAAGGCAGAACTTAACCGCTGACCTTTCTGTTTGCTCAGATCCAGCACTAGATTTTATTTTTTTCCCCTCTTTTCTCAACTAAAAATAAGTATGTAAAAAATTACACTCCTAAATTGATCACAAAACATGCAAAATGCTGATAATTCGATCTGAGAGTTCAGAGGCACAGGAGGTCCATGCGTCTTATAAGTCAGGTCAAAGACTAGTCACTGCCTTTTGCAAAATTCAGTTATATTATCATCTTAGTGGCCCAAATAAAACATGACACATTTATGTCAAATCAAAAGTCAGTCCCTTTTAAATAAGAGATCTAACCACAGTGGCTGTGTAAATTAGACTTTGCCTCAATTGTAATGAACAGGAAAGATATGTGCAAAGAAATTATGAAAGTTACAGTCTTTGCTTCAAGCACAAACAAGGTGAAATTTTTTTCTCATAAAATGGCAATATTTAAAATTCTGGGTTTTCTTCTGTCTGATCTTTTTACATTTCTTTTTAATTCATCATGAAAGCATTTGGCACTTCTGCAAAACCGCATCAAAATTTTAAAAAAATTATTGCAATATTAAGGAGGAAAAAGTGTTTCTTAAAAACTAAGTTAGTTTTGAGTTCAAGATTCAGAAGTGTCTTTGCTGCTGGATTTCAGGTGACTATATATAGAAAGGAAATATTTTACTTGGCTCTGTAAGATTGTGCAGCCACGTATCATACACTGGAACCTACCACCCAGTACACAGCCCATTTTATATTCTGCATCCTGGAAAATCAGCTTTTGCACATGCAAGCAGAGCAAGTAATTGACTGGTAAATACAAACTTAGGTGTATTGGGCACAAGAAGCCCAAACCCAACAAACCATGTTGGGAAAAAGTACCATGGGGTGGGGGTGGGGGGTGTGTTTTATAAATCAACAATAATGAAAGGCTTTTTTCTGAAAGTGGGGATCTATAACTACTAAGAGATTCTTAGCTATAAAGCTCTACTTTAAACATGTGTCAAAAAAAGATTTTACTCCTAATTGAAATAATACCAATAAATGCACCCTGCAACTTTTCTTCCTTGTCCTGTTTGTAACCTATGTAGTCTGTGCAAACTCTTCAATGCCATCCAGCCCAACAGCAACCAGGTCATCTCTGTTAATTAAGCAAACTCTTGGAAGAAGTTATTGATCTCAGACTATGGTAATTCAAGTCCCATGATGCATTTTTGCTAATAGTTTCAATAGGCTCAAAACTCATCAGCATCTTTCCATGAATTTAACATCATAATATAGATATCTGATGGAAAAAAGAATCTAAATAAAATGCATATTTCTGGCTAAAGCCTGTCCCAAATGAAATCAATAGCTAAACACCTCATGATTCACAGGAAGTGGTCACTCAGGACATTTAAATATACTTCCATTATATTTGAATATAGTTCTATAGTGAGGTGCAAAAATAAAACTATCAGTATCTATAGTACTATCCTACCCAAAATCTTTAACAGGAAGCTGGGTGTGCCTGTAAGAAAAAAGCAGAAAATGCAGACAGCATTTCTGCTTAAAAAATAAAAAAATTAAAAAATCAGTGTGCTAAATGCAGTACACATTAAAAATATGAAGAAGGAAATACTCAAAACACAAATCTGTCTGTGACACTATCCCAGAAATGTTAAGGATTTTCTAAGTACTTTCATTATTGTCAGTGAGCTTCCAGAAAAGATCAACAGCCTGCCACTACAAAACAACTGCATTAAAACTGTCAGGAAAAAGCAAGACCCAGTGGTTAAAGCAGAAGACTGGATAACGGGACTCCAGAGCTTGGACCTCTGCTAAATCATCATCATCTTGCCATATGGGCCTCGCCAAGTCCAAAGTACCCCTGAAGGATCAGATTTATTACAGGTTTGCTTTGGCCTGAAAAATGCAGAAAGACATTGAAGGTCACACTCAAGGAACTTAAATAATACATGCCTAGCTAACAGAAAAAACCCTGAAATTATGATGACCTGCAGAGAATGAGCCTATATTAAGCATGTAGATGTAGTAGAAAGAATCATTTTCAAAGGTCCCTACAGGGATGTTTTAAAGCCCTTAGGATCTCAAACTACCGAAGGCATGAGGTGCTGATCTCATTTAGGCACTCTAAAAATCCTAGTAGGCAAGAAGTTAGCAACCTAAAACCTTTAAAACTATGTCAGTCAACACTGGAGTGCTCAATGCCTCTAAAAATTAGGTCTTAAGTGTTTCTCTTAGGAAATGGAACCAAATAGGTAGCAGAGCACTTTGAAGACAGTGACTTGTTCTGAGTTGGCTGTCTAAAGTCATGAGATTAAGGAGCATCCTTCAGCCCTGGGGATACCTTGTCCTGGGAGACACTGGGGTACTACTTGTGAGAAGCTGAACAGATGCTCTCTCTACTGATTGTGCAGAAATTCTGAGACTGGTATCCCCAGACAGTTGGTAGCCTGAGTAATTTCTTTCAGACAAACAACACTTTGCTTTTGTTTATTCATGCATTACCCTCACACAGAAGTTGTTACTCTACAGTAACAAGTATTCCAGCCAAGCTCTCCTCAGTGATACAAAGCAAAGTGACCAGTTACAAGGAAATTTTTGCAGTAGTGGAGATAATGTGAAACCTGTGCTGCTCTCCCTGTACTACCTGCCCTGCACAGAGCTGTTGGGTTCCTATCCTATTTTGCCATGCTTCACTTCGGCTTGTTACAGAAATGGTTACAATCTTGTAAATCAGTAATAAGTTGCACCCGAACCTGTAAGTGATTAGCAAAAATTCATTACACTTCCATGGCCAGAGGACTTTCACACAGTTAATCAGTTAAGAAAAGAACTGGGTGTTAACTGGTTGTTTAATTTCTTGGAAGACCAGTTTATTGAGACCCTGTGGCAAGAAGACTGAAATCTGAAGCGCAAACAATATATGGCAGAATTACATTGCTTACAAATGACATACTCCCCTGGAGAAACAAGTGCCAAATGTTGGCCTAAAGTGAGCTGAATGGAGGAATTTTAAAGCTGAGCAGGTGGGTGCCATTTGTGGTGCTTTCAGTTATTTAATTTGTTTGATCCGTGTTTGAATCTACTGTAAATCAATGAGTTTTCTAGGCACCTTCTCCATGAGCCAGGAAATGGGAGTTATGTGGTATTTGCAGGACACACATACACACACACACTTTCTTATCCTGGGTTGCAGACTGGAACAGCAAGAGAAGGAGCAATTTTTGCTCCAGAGTGTGATTTCCTGTTTGCTTGACGGATTTCAGTATTTAGCCATAATTTTTTTTTTTTTTTTTTTTTTTTTTTTAAAAAATTTTAAATTCTAAGACAGGTGCAAATCCTGCTTATACATCAGTTGGAGGAAGAATCCACATCAGTTGGCAACCTGGAGAGTGCACCTTCAGGCACCAGGTCACACCTCTTCCCTCCTGCCCCCTTAGGCTTCAGCATATCACTGGGGGAAGCCCCTGGAGCTCATCTGCAGGCTCAGTCCCCCTGGTGTAAAAAACCCTTAATTTAGAGGAGTTACATCTTGGTCACTGCATGAATACAATGGGAAGTGGCACCCCATCAAACAGGGGTGTTTCTTTAAATGTCACTCTCTGAACCCTTTTTCTGCCTGTTTCACAGCAGTGCACATACTGAAACCAGCCAGGTGCTGCCAACCCCATTCATGGGTTACCTGACAAAGGACTGGCTCTGAATATTAATGCTCACAGTGCCAGGAACGATATGAATATGAAGCAAAAATTCTGTTATTAAATTTACTAAGACAATGACAAATATCCTGTTTATTTATCAGACAAACCCTTTAAGTCTCTTTAGTCACTGCACATAAGGCATAAAAGGACTGCAACAAGATGTGACAACTTCGTGCAGTTCTTCTATGAGTGTCAGCAGTCACTTTGGGAAGCGTACCTTGAAAGTGGAAAACTAAATCAGCCTGGGTGTGATGAGGAACTCCAGGCCACTGTAGATTTGGTTTGTAGTAGCTTTCCACAACAAAGTCTTTTTTTAACTGACTTTCTTTCTGCTCACATATATTTAGATATGACTTTCATTCTGCAGTACTCTGATGCCAGATAGTTTTGGCTGAAATTGTAAGGGAAGGGACACGTGTTTTGAGTCATGCAGTTGGCTCTCTCTAGTTGATAGTTAGCAAGTTACGGAGAAAAGATGAAGTTTGTATTTAGTTTTAGTTAACATGCAATGAGACCAAGTAAAATATTCCAAGTAGAATACACACATAATAAAGAAATACACAAAAACTTATACCAGAAGGGGATGGAGTTAATTCGCTTAAACCACATTAGTTAGCTAAACCAATACAGAAACATTAGGCTGATGGACTGGAGCTTAAGAAACACAAGGGAAGCGTCTTCATTTTGTCACTCCTAACTCTTGATCTAACTCTGAGGCAGCTGCTGCTGCAAAGCACAGGGGTGAACTGTGCTTGCATCTATTCTTGTGTGCATGGTTTGGACTTTATGAATTTGCTACATAACTGCTGAGATAAGCAGTGCTATTTGTTATTAAGACATATTTCTTTTACATTAAAAACAGCAAAACCAAAGGAGGTTGGCGATGACTTTTTCCTACAGTAGCTAGCACCTCATGGTTTAAAAGCTAATGAAACTGGTAATAGATACCACAATGCCTCTAAAATAGTAACTGCTGGCAGGAAAAGCACACAAGCGATAGCACTGTTTATTCACATGTCACTTTGCAGTTTCATCATTCTCCTAGACTTAACCTATTTACTAAGAGGCAATATGAGTCACTGAGTGAAGTGTTTCAAAAACAGAAAGAGAAAAGAGAATGGATGGGAGAAACCTATTTTTTACAGGAAATAATTGGGGGG